TTTATTTAGTAAATAGGTCACTGGGAATTCTGTATACTTCCAGAATGGAACTGTAAGTTATCTGCATTTTTTCTATTAAATTTTATATGTAAAACATATTATAAAATTCTATTTGTGTCACAAAATTCTATTTGTGTCACTAGCATAATGTAGTTTGATAATTAGTCATTTCTTGAATAGTAAAACTCAAGAAAATGCCTTGTATAAAATCTACTGAGAATTTATCGTTTAAAGTATTTGGAGCCTTAAAAATATAAATTAGAATTAAACCATTGCATTTTGCAGACGTTTAAGACCCTTCAAATTATACTTGCCAATGAATCAAAGTATTAAATCTATTTCCACCTCTTTATTTTATGTTTGAGGCTCAGAGACCAAATGATTTGTTTAGTGTCACAAGGTTAAGAAATGCCAGAAGTGGTCCTCAGACACTACTTTTATTATCTTTTAAAATTCTTTCTGGACCCAGAATTTTGTATTATCTAACTTAGAATCATTTCTGGACACTTTTGGTTGTTTTATTAGAATTTAATGTATGTCTAAGAATTTTTCATAAGTTACTGTTGTCTCAATACTTCAAATTGAGAAGCATTTTTAATAAAACATTTGATAACAAAAAATGAATTATCCTCAAAAGGGCACAGAGAAGATGGTCATTGGGTTAAAATAATAGGGAATTTATAAAATGCTTAGTGGAGTTAGGTTGATAACTTTGTTATGATTATTAGTTTAGTATCTGTTTCCAGATGCAATTTTATTTTATGGTGATGGAATTATAACAAAGAAAGATTGCTTTGGAGGTAAAGTTAAAATAACTGAGTATTGGGCTTCCCTGGTGGCGCAGTGTTGAGAGTCCGCCTGCCGATTCAGGGGACACAGGTTCGTGCCCCGGTCCGGGAAGATCCCACATGCCGCGGAGCGGCTGGGCCCGTGAGCCATGGCCGCTGAGCCTGCGCATCCGGAGCCTGTGCTCCGCAACAGGAGAGGACACAACGGTGAGAGGCCCACGTACCGTACCGCAAAAAGAAAAAAAAAAAAAACACGATGTGAAAGAAGGGTGTGGAGAAGCCCTTCAAAACACAGGTGGCAACACTAAGGAAGTGAGGAGGGCTGTGGAGCTTGCTATTTGCCTTGGGAACGGCTCTTCTTATTTGAACTGATTGAGCTAATCAAAAAGCAAAACTCAGTAGGACTTTTCTCTCATTTTTTAACTCAAGGAAAAAAATTTTAATACAGCTTTTTGCCACCTTTGCATATGATCAGACAAGAAGAGAGCTAAGGGCATTGCGGAGCTTAAGCAAAGTAAATAAATGGTTCTAATACTTTTCAGAATATTTGTCTATGTCATTAGATGCTTCGTGTCCATCCAAAGATGGCTTCTTTCCTATCTCAAAGAAGGAACTACCAGCACTTTCCCAAGGTTTACCTTGGATGCCACTTAACGTGTATTAAACACTTTTTATTGTGAAATAATTTTAGACTTACAGATAAGATACAAAAATAGAACAAAGAATTCACCCAGGTAAAATGTCAAATGTCAACAATTTACCTCATTTGCCTTACCATTCTCTGTCTTGTCTCTCTCTGTATGCATAAGTGCCTGTATATAAATGTGTATGTATGTGTATGTGTGTGGTGTGTGTGTGTAATGTTTTCATCTGAACCAATTGAGAGGAAATTGCCATTTAACCCATTATTCTTGTATGCTTCAATATTTCCTAAAAGACTAGGACACTGTTGTCTGTAATCACAGTACAATCATTAAAATCTGAAAATCAACACTGATATAATACTATCAACACACACTCCATTCACATTTTACCAATTATCCCAGTAACACATTTCATAGCAAAAAAAATCCGGTTTTTCTCCATATTCAGGATCTAGTCCAGGGTTACATACTGCATATAGTTGAGATGTCTCCTGAGTTTTTTCAATAGTTCCTCAGCCTTCTCTCGTCTTTCATGACTTCTAAGATTTGAAGAGTATAAGCCAGTTCTTTTGTAGAGTGTTCCTGATTTTGGGTTACCTGATATTTTCTCATGATTAAATTCAATTTTTGCATTTTGGCGGGGATATTAAAGAGGTGATTCTGTGTTTTTCTTTACATCGTAACAACATGATTCTTGATTCCTTGCATTACTGGTGATGTTACCTTCGATCACTTGGCTAAGGTAGTGTTTTGCCGGGATTCTCCATTGTATAATTACTATTTTTCTCTTTATAATGAGTAAATATTTTGCCACTTGTATACCTATTTAAATATCTTTGTCCTTAGTAAAATTTTACCCAGTCATTTTAGTATTCATTCGTGATTCATTCTTGCCTGAATAAATTATCATTATAATAATTTACCAACTGTGATTTTTCTAAGTCTTATACATTTATTAGCTGTCATTCTTACATAAGGAAGAACTTTCCCTTTCCCTTCACTTATATATATGTATGTATGTATTTATATACATGTGTATGTAATGTATCTATATACTGATATCAGCATGGGTTAGAAATTAGGGGGAAAGGGCTTCCCTGGTGGCGCAGTGGTTGGGAGTCCGCCTGCCGATGCAGGGGACACGGCTTCGTGCCCCGGTCCGGGAAGATCCCACATGCCGTGGAGCGGCTGGGCCCGTGAGCCATGGCCACTGAGCCTGCGCGTCCGGAGGCTGTGCTCCGCAATGGGAGAGGCCACAACAGTGAGAGGCCCGCGTACTGCAAAAAATAAAAAAAAATAAAAAAAAATAAAAAAAAAAAAAAAAAAAAAGAAATTAGGGGGAAAATTCAGAGTAAAAATCTGAGGACTGTCTACTAGACTGGACAGTATATAAAAATATCTCGGGTGGACTGTTGCTCTTTTAGATTTAGTACAGCTTAAAAACATATATAATTATTTAACTTTATGTCAAACATTAGCTTTAGAAATATATTTCAGATTGTATTTATACTCACAAAGTAAAATGGATAAAGAGGTTTCTTTCTCTTGACCAACAAAATTTTTAAAAAATTACTTTCATTTGAACTAGCCAGATCAGTGATATCCAATAGAAATACAATATGAAATACATATGTAATTCCAAGTGTTTTAGTAGTCACATTAAAACTATATAAAGAAAAAAATTTAATTAATTTAAATAATACATTTGTTTACCTAATATATTGAAATATCATTTCAATATCTAATCAATATAAAACTTATTAATAAGATACTTTACATGTTTTTCCTATTAAGTCTTCAGAATCCTATAGTTACTTTACACTTACAGCACATCTCAACTCATACCAGCCACATTTCACTTTTAAGTGTTCAGATAGCCACATGTGACTTATGGCTACTGGACTGGAAAGCACAGATCTAGATAATTGAAATCAAAAGATTTTTAAAATCTAGAATATATAGATACTTGTTTCAGTTATCCACCTTACTTTGCATGTGCAGGAAGTGTTATTTCAAAATAGAAAAAGTAGAAAGCATAGTAAAGCTATAATCATAATACTATAAAAATTCCACTAAAGAATTTATCCTCAGAACACTGTGAGAATGAGATTAATAGAAATATCTATAACGGATTAAATTGAATTGAATGATTAAATTAAACCCTTTTTTAAAAATACATATTTTATTACTATTTCTGTGTATATTAGTTTGTCCAAAACAAAACTATGTTTTAAATCAGTTTCTTAGTAGACTTCTATGACTATAGTCTTGCAACTATGAAATACTAGTTTTCAACATACCTATACTATTTCCCAAGTCCTTGAGTAAAAAGTGCATACATATACATATATACAGACACACAGACACATACATATATGCGTAAGAAAATTTGTACCTATTGAACCTTCTTGCCAAAATATATCCCTTGTCATTACTTTAGTATTAAATGATTTATAAATAAAATTGTCATTAATTTAAAAATGGTCCCACTTACATTTAACTTAGACTAGGATCAGTGATGTTGAAAGAGCATGTGGGAACCAATATAGCAAACTTATTTAGTAACAGGCAGCATCCTACCTATACTAGCTCATTTATCCATGTAACTCATTTAATTTTCACAGAATCTTATGATTAACCATTATCACAATTTATAGTCATTTTACATATGAGGAAAGTAATGCACAAAGAAGTTAAGTAACTCCCCAAATTTGCACAGCTAGTGATTGTTATATCTGAAAGTCAAACAAAGGCTGTCTAAAATTAGTCCAAAGAAGCCCTGACCACCTCAGGTAGGATGAAGCAAAGAATGAGGTTGAATAAATTTACCTTGCACAGAGACTGTATCTGGTTACAAATGGAAGGAGAGAAGCTGGACTTCATGCAGAGATGCAAACAACCCTGATAAAATAATTTAACCAGTCCACACATTTAACAAATATGTATTTCTCTTTGCTAGACACTGGAGTACAGTAATGCATAAAACATATGAGTTTACAGTTGAGGAGAAACAGGGAAAGAAAGCAAATACAGTCTGCCCTCCATATCCCTGTGCTCTGCATCCTTGAATTCAACCAACTACAAATCAAACATTTGAAAAAAAAAATTCCAGAAAGTTCCGAAAAGCAAAACTTGAATTTGCCATGAGCTGGTCACTGTTTACATGGTATTTACATTGTATTTACAACTATATACAGAATTTACATTGTATTAGGTATTATAAGTAATGTAGAGATGATATAAAGTATACAGATAATGTGCATAGGTTATATGCAAATACTATGCAATTTTATGTAAAGGACTTGAACATCCTTGTATTTTGGTATCCTCACGGGATTGGTTCCAGGGCCAGGACACTGTGAGATGACTGTAATTATAATGCAATATAGAAAGTGCTCTCCTAGGAATAAGCACAAAATGATATGAGAATATAAAAAAATATACTTAACACAGCCTTAGGCATTAAGGAAGGCTGAAAGAAAAGCTGTTGAGTCCTGAAGAACTGCTAAAAGTTGAATTAATGATTGGCAAATATATTTAAAGAAACCTACAATATTACTTTCTTCAGGGTAACATCTCCACGTGGATCGGCTAGATGCATCTCAACCTCAAGATATGATTAAAGACAACTATGATGAAATAGAACCTCAGAATCTCATGTGGAAGGGCAAATGAAGAATGTTAACTGCTGAGTTAGTATCTACTCTGTAACAGGTGCTGGATATGCTCTCTGTATATGACTTCTACATTCCTTTCTTATGTATGTGCAATGAAGTTTCAAAAGGGTAGTTAACTTGCCCAAGATTAATGCGGCAGAGCTCTGACATCAAATGGTCTGATTCTTCTTTTTCAATTGAATAGTGCCTCCTTCCTTTCTACAAAATAAGGTAAACTGCCACTTGAGAGAAAATGATTTGCTTACTACTTTGAGTTATTCACAGAAAGATGAGAGGCTTATAAAATATCCAAACAAGTAACATTTTGAAATAGTCACTAAGGAGTTTCATCATATATATTAATTATATATGTAATAATATTTTACTTTTGAAGAACAGTGAATTTTTGTGGTATACAAAGCTCTTTCATTTCTCTTTTCTCATTAGCTAGCATAAGTAATTACAGACAAGGTAATGTTATTCCCAATTTGGAGATGAGAATGCAGACATCTAAATATATCACAAATTTAAAACATTGAGATATACACTCAGCATATCCATTGATATCTTTTTTCAGATTCAGATTGTCCAGATTCAGGTTTTTCAAGATATTCTGTTCTTGTTTAACTGTCTTGTGATTTTTATTTACATATTATTTTTGAAAATTATTTATAATTAGAAGTAAAATTAAGCTTAACAAAATGTTTGAAATGTAACAGTAGGCAACTTAAGGATTTGTGTCAATAGCCAACATAATTTTTATTAATAATTTAAAATGATTGTATTTTTATAAAGACTAACTTGAAAAATATTAAATCTTGAATATGTTTTTATTTAAGCAAGTCTTTACTAGAAACCATAGAGACTTACATTATGGAAGGTTTGCCAAACATTCTCTGAATCTTCTATTGTGGATGATCACATTATTTTATAGATGAAACTTTCCAGGGATTTTTTGCAGAACTGTTGTATTTTTCTGATGGATTCTCTTTTTTTTTTTCTGGGATATATTACTCAACTAGACCAATAACTAAACTAGAACAGTTCAAATAACTCTTTTGTTAAAACTGAATTTATGTGAAATCAAATATCAACTTGATAAGATCAAAGTAAATAGTTTTCAATATTTTTAATATCCTTAAAATAAAATTGATATAAATTCTAAACATGCAATTTTTTTTTTTTTTTTTTTTTTTGCAGTATGTGGGCCTCTCACTGTTATGGCCTCTCCCGTTGTGGAGCACAGGCTCTGGACACGCAGGCTCAGTGGCCATGGCTCACGGGCCCAGCCCCTCTGCGGCATGTGGGATCTTCCCAGACCGGGGCACGAACCTGTGTCCCCTGCATCGGCAGGCGGACTCTCAACCACTGCGCCACCAGGGAAGCCCTTCTTTGGTTTTTAATATCATTTTCAACATTGACTTATGTGTCACTTAAAATTTTCAAACAACAAAAAAAATTTCTAATGAGACTTCATAAGGTGATAATCCAATTTAAACTGAAAATGATTGAAATTATTAGTCAGACACTGGTATTTTGGCAGGATGCCTAGCATGTTTTATTAGTTAACTTGCATTGTCTCTCAACTGTTAGTATTGTGATGATCACCTCTAATAGGTAAATAGGTCATAAATCATTTGTGAATTTAGCAAAAAATATTGCATGCCAAATACTCCATTTATCAATGAATTTCTTTATGTAGAAAAGTCAGAAAAATTCTGCTTAGAGCCTTAGGAATTGCACTTGCACTCAAACCTTAGCATAAAAAACAAAAAGAATTTGCCTAATTTTACTTCTTTACCGTAGTTTAGGGTAATATATTGGAGACTAACAAAACTTCCATGTTAAGAGTCTTTCAGAATAAATCTTTTCAGTTATCTATTCCTGTGTAACATGCCACTCCAAAATTTTGAGACTAAATGCTGATTAATCATTTCTGACCATTCTGTGTGTTGTCTGGGCTCATCTGGGTAGTTTTACTGCTCCATGTGATATAGCTGAGGTAACTCGTGTGGCTGCATTTAGCTGGAGCTTGTCTGGGATGGAAGGTCCAGAATGGTTTCTCATCCTTTAGGGCTTATCTCCATGTGATCTCTAATGATTCAGCACTTCTAGTCTGTACTACCTTACAGCTAGGTGACTAAATTCCTAGTGGGAGCATTCCAAGAGGACAAACTCCAATACACATATGCCTATCAATCCTCTGCTTGCATCATACTTGCAGATGTCCCATTGACCAAAACAAGACACAGAACCAAGCCTAGGTTCAATGTGGGAGGGGACTACACAAGGGCTGAAACACTGGGAGTCAAGGCTCACTTAACATTTTGCCATAATCTCTCTGATCCCTGATGATCCATTCCTCTCACATGCAAAATAAAATCATGCTCTCTCCAAGACCCAAAAGTCTTATCCTATTATGTCATCAGATCTACCTTTGAAGTTCAAGAGCCCACATCTAAATAATGCTCAGGGTGATCCCTTAGGTACAGTTATTTGGGCTCATTTTTTGGGTGCAGAGACCTATAAACTGGAAAGGTAAATTACCAGTCTGCCCTCTACATAAGTTCATAAAATGGTGAGATAGAAAGAAGATAATCATGCTAGACACTCCCACTCAGAAAGGAAAGAAGAAGTAAAGACACATAGAAATTCTGGAATCCAGTCAGGTACATGCCACCAGTTGCCCTGTTCCAGAGGCAGGGGTTGTTTCTTGATTATACCCACTTCTATTTGCAAGTGGCTCCCTCTGGCCCTTGGCTCAACTCTGTGCCCCCCTTTTTGGTAAAAAAAATTGCTTTTGCTTGTAGTTCAGTATGTTTCTCAGGTTGTTTCCTGCTGTAGAAAGTCAACGGCCCAAATTGTTTTTTTTTTTGTTGTTTGTTTGTTTGTTTTTGCGGTACGCGGGCCTCTCACTGCTGTGGCCTCTCCCGTTGCGGAGCACAGGCTCCGGACGCGTAGGCTCAGCAGCCATGGCTCACGGGCCCAGCCGCTCCGCAGCACGTGGGATCTTCCCGGACTGGGGCATGAGCCCGTGTCCCCTGCATTGGCAGGCAGACTCTCAACCACTGCGCCACCAGAGAAGCCCCCCAAATTATTTGGAACTGTCTCTGTGCCTTTTAGTCTAAGCTGATAGTGCTTTCACTACTAAAATTCCATTTAAAATCATGTGGACTGTTTACATATTATAGTTCATTCCATTAAACAAAAGTAACAGGGACATATATTTTCAAGACAGATCTCTTTCTACTTTGAAATATGGGTTAATGTGCTTTGAGACAACATCCTTAAAATTCTTAGGAACCTTTGGTCTGGCTTGAGAGTCTGAGAAGAAACGACTGGAATCCTTCTTGGGTCTTAACTAAGGGTCTTACATTCATAGCCTTGTTTTAATCTTCATTTTGAAGCCGCATTTTACTGTTATTACCCTGAATTTCATTTTCACCTCTTAATTTGATAATCTATTGTCCACTGGAGAAGCTGGGAATGAAAACCAATTTTATATTCTAACTCAGCTAGTCTTCTGTTAGAAATCATTTCATTAAGCTCCACTTGAAACCAAACAGTTCCTTCTTTCATTTGTCTCTTTCCTATAAAACCATATCTTAGGCAACTATAAGAAGCCAATTGGCACTTTCAACATCCTGTCTGAAAATCTACTTAGCCAGAATCACAGTCATTAGGTACATGTTTTATCTTACAAGTTATCAAGGTCACTATTCTCGTTAATTTTCTATCAGTACCTAAATTAGGTACGCTGTTGTCAAGTTTCCAACAACAAGTTTATCACTGCTTTTCTAGCCAGGTTTTTGCTGCCTTGTCCCAAAGCCAATATTTTATGTTTGTATGATGCCAGCACCCCACTTTTATATAGTAGCAATTTCTGTTTCAGGTATGTATTGCTGTGGTAAAAACGCTCCAAAAAACTTACTGACTTATAAGAGCAAGTTCTTATTATTTCTTATGATTCTGTGGGTTGATTGAGATCAGTTGATTGGTTGTTCTGCTCCACGTGGCAAAATGGGTATTACTAGTGTGGCTTTATTAAAGTGAGAGCTTAGCTGGGGCTAAAACAGCAAAATGGTTTCATCCTCCAGATTAGTCTAGTCTTTACTTCTTTTGAGGTAAAATTTACTTACTGGAGTTTTGGAACGAAAATGTGTATATATATATATATATATATGAAGTTCTTTGAAAAAATTGTGAAACTAGTTACAAATACAGGTCTCTTACATGCCTTAAGACTCTATATAAATAAAATTCCATAGCTCAGCGCTTCTCAAACTTTTTTCTTTTTGGTATCCATATGGTAGTGGAGGATGTTCAAGTCACCAGAAGACCTGTGGCATCTAGTTTCCAAGATGGCCTTTGATGATCCCTGCCTCATGGTATTCATACCCTTGTTTAGTTCCCACTCACATTGTACCATGGTGGGTCTGTGTAAGCAGTAGAAAACATCAGAAGCGATGGAACATCACTTCTGAGATCCCATTATAAAAGCCTCTGACTTCCTTCTTGGGCACCTCCCCCTCACGCTGGCATCTCTCTCATCCCTACAGGACTATGTGGTGGATGACTGAGGCCTCTTGTCAACATCTGTGTAAGTGAACTTAGAGGCAGATCCTTAAGCCCTAAATAACTACAGCCCTGGTCAACAGCTTGACTACAGCCAATGAGAGACATGAGCCAGAAATACCCAGCTAAGCTACATCCAGAAACTTTACCCTCAGAAACTGTGTCAGGTAATAAATGTCGGTTTAAGCTCCAAGTTTTGGCCAGTTCACTTTATAAATAGTTAACTAGTATATAGACACAAAATACCTTTCCTTATATTTTATGAAAAAATTTCATACGAGCTCTGAAATTTCTTTTATAATATATCCAGGTTTTTTTCCTTATTTATTGTTTTTTTAATAGAAATCCATCTTTAATTTATTTATTTTATTTACTTTTTTATTTTTGGCTGCATTAGATCTTCATTGCTGCACGTGGGCTTTCTCTAGTTGCTGTGAGCGGGGGCTACTTTTTGTTGCTGTGCGCGGGATTCTCATTGTGGTGGCTCCTCTTTGTTGTGGAGCATGGGCTCTAGACGCGCGGGATTTAGTAGCTGTGGCACACAGGCTTCGGTAGTTGTGGCTCGTGGGCTCTAGAGTGCAGGCTCAGTAGTTGTGGCACATGGGCTTAGTTGCTCCGCGGCATGTGGGATCTTCCTGGACCAGTGCTCGAACCCGTGTGCCCTGCATTGGCAGGCGGATTCTTAACCACTGCACAACAAAGGAAACCCTATATCCTGTTTTAATATAAACTAAATCATATAGCTTACTCTCCATAAGGTAAACTGATGCTTTTAGGGAGATTTGCCCTCTTTATTATATTTTTTCTTGGGATCCCAGGTAGAAACATCTAATATCAAGCATCTTTTATTAAAAACTTCTAATATAAAGTGTGAGATGCCTAAGATTATGCTTAATGAGAAATGTCTCACCTACATGGAAAAAAAACTGTAATTTTTCTTCCAAAAAGCCAAAAAGAAGACACAAAAATGTGGAAAGATAGATTTCCTCAAATTGAATCATAAATCCAATGCAATTCTAAAAAAAAAAATCCTAAAAAGGAGGTGGTAAAATATAACTCAGAGAATGCTAGCTCTAAAGTCAGAGCCGAATACCGACTCTAAAACTTACAAAAGCCAGTACGTAACTCTGTGCCTCAGTATAATTACCACTACTGAGTAAAGAAGACAATCAAAATAAATAACGTCATCATTTTTATTGTGATGAATCTATTCTAAGAAAACACTTTCACACTTACTCAGAGATATACATATAAAAATACTAATTACACTGTTCATAATAACAAAAAAATTCAAAACAATTTAAATTTCTATTATTAGGGCAGTCGTTAAATAAATTAAAATTTCACTCACACTATGATATACTATGTGACTATTACAAAGGATGGGTTTTCTTTTATGTATAGTGATGTGAAAATTGTCCATCTTACATTAAATGGGAAAAAAAAAGCCTGGTGCATATCACTGTGTACATTATAATCTCATTTGTTAAAATAGGCATAATAAAAATAATATTTTAAAAAGATCTCTCGCTCTCTTTCTCTCTGTGTGTAGTGAAAATGAGAGAGGTGGATCTGTTTTTGTGTGAATAGGGACAAGATGTGGAAGATTTCATATACAATAGCTAACGATGTTTACCTTAGGGTAGTGTGTTAGAGAGGTAGACGGAGGAAGACTTTCGCTTTCTGCTTTTTATCAGTCAGGAGGTTTTCAGTCACAAGTAACAGAAAAGCAAACCAAAATTTGCTTAAGGAACAAAATAATTTATTATCCCATTTAACAGAAAAGCTAGAAAGAAGCTAGGCTTCTGGATTGATTGATTAGTCGTTCAGTTATGTTATTGCAGAGCTGTGTTCTTTCCTTTCCCTTTTGTCATCTTCTGTCTATATCACTGCTCATCATGACGGTGGGATAACTGCCAATAGCAGAAAGGGCCCTACACTTTTTTAAGGATGATAGAGATTCTCTTTCACTGAAGAACAAGGATTCCAACAATCCTCTTTTTGTGTTTCAAGCCAAAATTTGGTCACATAATGATTCTTAAGCTAATCACTGACAGCACTGATGCTATGATTTAACCAATCAGGCTCACCCCTTGAGATCAAGTCAGTTGCCTAAACCACATTGCTGCCATTCAACAAAATGGTTGCTACAGTATTGCATAATATTGTTACTATTCTTTATACAATAAGATGTATTACTTTCAACACTAAAATAATTTTTTAAAAGAATATTATAAATCTTGAAGATAAATGTTGTGTATGTTTGATAATCATCCAATAGTCTGCTAAAATTTTATTTAAATCTAGAAAATAGTTTTAAAATTTCTTAGATTATTATAAAAGGAAGTAAAATGTGGTAGGCAGAGATACTTATGACAATTTATGATGGAGAGGAAGATCACTTATCATTTGTATTTTATAAGATGGTATTACTTTGATAGTTTATCTCTAATTTAAAAATTAGTGAAAGGGCACCAGTATACTATTAACTATAAAAGCATAAGGAAGGGACATTTTTAACACTAGAAAACAAAGATATGTAAGGTAACAAATTTCTTCTCACCTTATGTAAACCTATCTTAAAGTTTGGAGAGGAGTGAAAAGAAACCTTGTATCAAGGAGAATAAAAAATAAAATGGCTTAAATATCAAATGTTTGAATGCTAATTTGAAAAAAAAAACACTCCCAATGTAGTTAAGAAATACTATCGATTAGAACTTTTAATATCTAAGAGGTAATTTCTAATAACTTCTATATCTTTCACTGTGGCTAAGGAGATAATAAAATTCAGGAGTTGAGAGGGCCAAGATAGTCACAAATTAACCAAATAGATAAAAAAATGCTAGGTAGTTATTTTGAAAATTCATTTGCTGCTTTCTTTAGTAAAATGGTTTTAATGAATTACCTACCTGTTTCCTACAGTAGACCACAGCTCTACTGCAACTAATCTAGAGTTATGGCAAATTAAAACTGGATTTCTTAGCTCTTTGGAGACTATAGAATACCAGTTAATAATATTATTATGTGAAATGCAAATGAAAGAAAACATTTTTAAGTGATGAAATCTCCTTTCCTACTATAACAAACTACAACATATATAACAAAAATCAAATGGATTTAATCAGGTTTATCTGCCCAGAGTTTCCTCTTATATCTAAAAAAACAAGATTACTAATTTTCCTGTGATGAAAATTTGTTTGATTTAATAAGAAATGCAAAAACCCTGATACTTTTTCAAGTTCTCATTTTTAGTTCTGGTTTTGCCTGAGTATAATTTAAAGAGAGAGCATACTTTAAGAAAGACTGTATAAATGCAATTCCAAATCATGCCTTAAAGTCTAGTGCTTGGTGTGTGTGGCAGACACAATCATCTCTTTGCAGGGATCTCAATGCATAGAAGTCCAATCAGAACCCCATAAGTACTTGGTAAGAACAGACTAAATTGTTCTTATGTTTGGCACCCAGTTTTTTTTACTGATACTTTGTTAATAGCATTTCACAAATGTATCACTTCCAAGTAAGAAAATATCTTCAGCGGGGAGTTCTTTGTAAGGGAACTCCTGAAATGTAAGACCACATTCACATTATTCTAACTGCTTCCTTGCTTTCTTCTCCACAGAGCTCTTCTTTCAGGAAGTCCACTTGAGCCTACACCCTCCAGCCTGACCTGGTTTACATGCTCCTACTCTGTGCTTCATAAAATCCTGAGAATGTAATTCCATCACTGGACCACTGGATAGATCCAGAATAATATTTTTCTCTGTGAGCCTGTGAAGTGACTGCTACTGACTTTGGAATGGTAGGATTTTTTAAAAATGGGGATATCAAAAATAAATGTTAAAGCAGAGACTTTTAAAACTAAAACATTTTCCTACAAAGTACATGGACACTATGTAGTTGGAGAGTTTGGGAAGTGAAAACTATTACATTTCACAGACTTTCCCAAGAGGATCTAACTGGTGTGAGACTGGTGTGAATAAAGCAGTTGAGGAGCCCCACACTCAGCTTCCCAGCCATGAGTCACCAGTATTATGTGGATGAGAGGTAGTTTGACCGCAGGAGCAGCCTATATGCCCCTGCATTACAACTTTGGTGATGTGCCCTTAAATTCAGGAATCCAGTGGTTGACCCTGACTTCCATTCCTAGCTTGTTCAACAATTGTCTAAGCTACGGATTCCCTGAATTAAATTTCCTTTCTGCTTGATATACTTTGAAAAGATTTAACTTCCTGCACTGAATCAGAACTGTTATATACTCTTTGTTATATTCTTCACTTACATGGCTTTTCCCTTACTAGATACCAAACACGTTTTATGAATAGGAATAGAACTTGTCTTTGTTCATTCTTTCATTCATTCCTTCATTCAGTTATCATACTTACTCTTTGTAATTTTATGTCCTGAAATTACATAATAGTTGACACAGAGGTGCATAATAGATATTAACTTAATTAATGAATTGGTAAATGTGTCATGTCAGGTAACGTGTAAGGTATCAGAGATACAGAGATGAGACAATCTTAGCAATAATAAAAAGATAAATTACATTTATTAAGCACTTATTATGTTTCAGGCTCTGAGTATAGCATTTTACATGCATAGATTTGATTTTCATTTTTTGTGTTTTTGGTTTTATGTTTGTTTTCTAATCCTTATAACATTCCCAAGTGCTAGGTACTAATAATCAATTCCCATCTCACACATAAAACAATTGAAGATGGAGGAGGCTCAGTAACTTGCCTAAGGTTACACAGTATTGGGATAGGTTGAATTTGAAACTAGACTATCTAATTCAGTAACTCATACTGTTAATCAGTACTGTGGGATCCCTACTATAGTTGATGAACAGATCCATAAAGAGATTTACAATACTGCTTGATAAATTCCACAATACATTAGCAGGATCAGAGGAGGCTTCTGTCTGAAGGAAGAGAGACTTAAGTACTGAAGTACAAAGGGTTAACAGAAGTTAGGAATAAGCAGAAGTGATAAAGGATGCAGTTTTAGGTGGAAAGAAATACACATACTACAAAAGGAACAAAACAGAAAACAGAGAAAGCATTTCTGAGCAGCAGGGGGATTATTTAGTGAGGAGGAATAAAAAATAGATATGGAGAAGCAAAGAAGGACCCACCATAAAGAGTCAGGTGTACATTTCTAGGGAATTTAAGATTTTTTGTGAGGGCCACATGGTGTTATTAAAGCATTTAAAAACCTATGAGATTTCTATTATAAAGAGATCACTTTGGAGCAGTGTGGACAATTTAGAAGTTATTGAGTCAGGTGAGATTGGAATTGGAAATTGCAGTAACTCAAGTAGAAGTAAGTTTTATCTTTGGGCTCTCAGATTTGAACACAAGGACTGACACCTAATATGAGAACAATTCATATTCACCAAGTTGAATTAAGCCTGAGTAACCTAAGGGTCAGACAGGTTTAATTACTTGTCAAAACTTACACAGGTATCTGGTGGTAGAACTCGGACAAGCATCTAAACCAGTGCTTTCTTTAACCTTAAATATAACCAGGGAAAAATTGATTGCATATATGCCATTTGAAATATGAGAAATTTTGCTATGTGTGTTTAGAAATGTACCTGAAAATATACACAGGTGTACAGTTATGGTTACGTCTCATTTCTTGTCTTCCCTTGTTGTGTGCTTATTTTCTAAGTCCATGGCCTCAAATATTCAAGTTCATACTTTCCCAATGATCTCTGAAGTCACTTTCCATGCTAGATACTCCTCCTATTCCCAAGTTTATGTCTTCTAATGCCTAAAAGAAAAAAGTAGTGAAATAGAATAATAAATCTAGGCTGGGGGAAAAATTACTACCACCACCATTAGCTATTAAGACATGTCATTAGAAATCTAATGTAAAATATACAAATATATAATTTTCCTCTTAGAAAGACTAAGAGGCATCCATTGTTATTATGCTGTGGTATGTTTTCTTTACTGTTCTTTTTGCAGTAATTTTTTCACCCTGAAATACAGTGGTCTCTCATGAAGTACAAAGATTGACATTTCTGTGGACTTTATATTGTCCAAGGACACTTCAAAGGCTAAGTAAATTCTATTTCTAATGCCCTGATCACTAAATTGTAAATGCTAGCAGTTTTAGGTTTTGACAGCTTTGGGCCCTTAATTTTGAATAAAGATTCTACCATCATGGTGAAATATCAGATGCTACACATTAGTAGTGGGCTAAAATATCTATAGTATCAGATTTACCAAAACAGATTTTATGATGATTTGGCTAGTTCTGGAGGTAGAATTTGCTTAAATATACTATGGCATGTGAAATTATTTGAAATTAAATGTCCAATAAATTTTAATACAATTGCCTTGTTTTCACAGACAAATCTAGGGCAATGTATTTGGAAAGAAAATTTTATAATTTACCTAAAAATATCCAAGCATAATATGTAACCCTTTTGGTCTTCAAGAGGTCAAAGGGTTATCTTTGCTTAGATACTTATAATTATTTTATACTTTCTCTTCTATTGACTGGTTTGAAAAAGACAAAAGAAAATTAAAATTGAAAAGGAATCAAAGCACTTGTTCTAACTGAGCATCAGAGACACAAGCCTAGGGTACACCTGCATAACAGTAAATGTTCTTTTGCAGTTAACACCTGAGTTTTTCTATTTATAGAAAGATATCACAAGTCTAAACACAGAGGAAAATGGCTCACAAATCCAATAAGAGTTGGATTGGATTGCACAACTTCTAGCAATATCAGGGGATTTTCATCCAATATATTTGCCAACAAATCAATAATATGAGTAAATCCTTCTGCATTGTGGGCAATCAAATGCTCACTGACAGGTACTACTACCTAAATTAATATAATCCCAGAAGTGATCTGTCTGTGTCAAACATAATACCACTGAGGCTTAAAATTCACATGTGATAAGTTGGAGGATATTTCTTAATAATGGTTTAAACAAAAGGAAATTAAGTGAAAATTCTGAATAAAATGTTCCCACATTTAGTGGGCTCAGTTTAAATTGCTCTTGTCTCTAGATGGCATGTTTCCTGCTGTCCATATTTCTTTACACAGTACACTCAAATAAAGTAGGAAGTATTTTTAAAATATATTACTTGTCTCACTAAAACTTATGACTTTATCCTGCAACTGTTTGTTATAAAGATTGTGTTGAGTATCAGGGCTCATTGAAATGGCTCCTACCACTCACACTTTCAGACTCAGATTAAAAGTCACCACTTCGCTGAAACCTATGAAGACTCCCCCAGGAAAATGTGACATTCTTCTTTGCTTCTTGTAGCACTTATCACACTATTTTATAACCACTCTTTCTAGCCTTTGAGTGTAGCATAAGGATCTGGCACATATTTTACTAAGTAAATGTGAATGTCATATCAAATACGCAATGGAGCATAAGAACAACATATGCCATATAGTTTAATGGTGGTATTATTTTCTTAAAAATATAATTTTACTTTGAAGATCAAGGTTTGACGTGGAAGATAGTCAAATGCAAAGAAAAGCCATGTTATAATTGTTTAAGTTGACACTTCCAGAGTTTGTCAATATGTTAGCACTGTGCTCTACTTGCTAGGAGGATTATGAATACAATTATATAAAAGTTTGAGCAGCTATTACCTACCAGGCACAGTATTAGGTGCTAGGGTAATAGATGAATAAGGCAGAGTAGTTGATCTTAAGGAAATAACTATTGATAAAGGAGACCTCCTATTCTCAGAAGTCTTTAAGCTAGTTAGAAATATATTCTATGTGTATCATTTATTTATTATTTCTATTGAATAATACTGATGCTGAAGGAAACAAAATAAGGATAATACGACATTCCAAAAACCCATTTTTCCTCCTTAGAAAGAGAACTATAATTGTTTGGCTAGCTTGACTCAAATATAAGAACCTGGCCTAAAAGTCTTTATTCATGAAGTGTAACATATATGACATTTTAAAACTTTGGCTGGCCATATCTGAGGTGGGGTGAGGGGCGAGAGATAGATATAGAAAGAAGGAAGATGAAGAGGATAAAGAGGAAATGAAGAAGGAAAAGGAAAAGAAAGTAAGGTAGAGCTTAGTTTTTTGAAAAAGGAAAATAATAAGAATAAGATTAAAGAGACTTGAGAGGAGAGATAAAAGGAAAGAAAAGGGGAAAGAGGAAAACAAAAAAGGAAAATAGTGGATAGGAATAGTCTAATCTAGACAAAGGAGGCCAGTACAGACACAGAAGTCAAGAAGCCAAAAGAATCAGCTAAAATAGTTGATTCTAAGGTTTCTTAAGGTTGAAAAATGGGGGGTGGTATATGCAGGGGACAATTACATTTGTGTGAAGGCTTTTGAATTATTTAACTGTTTGAATTATGTGAATGTGTAACTTGGACTAAAATAAAACCTAAAATTAAAATCCTCCCTTAACCTTTAACTTTTCCATTCACCAACCCTTTCTCTCCTCCTTTTTATGGCAATATACCTTAAAAGTTTTCTATAAGTACTCTTACTTCACCTATCCTATTCTTTTTTCAAACCACTTCAATCTTTAGTCTCCAGTACTCTACTGAATTGGCTCTTGTCAAAGCCAATTATGACCTTCATCTTGCCAAAATCAATGTTTCATTGCAAATCATCTTATTTGACTTATCAATAACATTTGACACAGTTGAGATATCAGGTTACTCCCTCCATATGTTTTTATCTAAACGGTATCTGGAACAAATAGATGCTTAGGAAAAGCTTTGTTTTATAAATAAGTGAACATATTGTTTTCATTCTTCCACATGAAAGGAGAATTAAAAAGTCCTTAAGATGTCTTGAAAAAGTGTACAACTCTCTCAATGCATCTCTTTTCAGTCCCCCTTAAAAATCCTGGACTCTCACAATACTAAACCACTTGTAGGCCACTGAGGTGAAATGTTGGCTCATACCCTTTAAAAATTTTTTGGGGGCACATTCCTGGCAGTCCAGTGGTTAGACTCTGCACTTCCACTGCAGGGGATGCAGGTTCGATCCCAGGTTGGGGAACTAAGATCCTTCATGCTGCTCAACGTGGCCAAAAATTAAAAAGAAAAAAAGTATTGAAGTATGGTTGATTTACAATGCTGTGTCAGTTTCAGGTGTACAGCAAAGTGATTCAGGTCTATATATACAAATATATATATATATATATATATATATATATATATATATACACATCTTTTTCAGATTCTTC